ATAGGAATTATTACCCAATAATATTTGGATCTTTCAATGGGTTTTAAAAAAATGTTTTGGAGGTTTCACCTCAGCACTGGGGTTGTCCAAAATTTTAGATAGAACCTTTATTAAGCACTTACTATGTGCCAGGTGCTGGAAATGCAACTACAAGCAAGCAAGGCAGTTCCCATCTTCAAAAAGCTTGCATTTTAATGAGGTACTATAAGACCTAAAGGGGAGGTGGAGAAGGGTACGGACAGCCGATAGAGGAGGAGAAAGAATCTAGGCTTAAATGGACTAATATTTGGCTGGAGTTCTTCATAAAATTGTGATTTTAAGAAAGAGATTTCTAGGGTCACAATGGGACAGAAGAGCATTAGGAGGAGAAAGGGGTGGGGGGAGGGAAGAGAAGGAGGAGGAGGAGAGAGAGAGAGTCCAAATACCTAGACTACTCCTCTGCTAAAAACTGGAAATACAAAAGTAATGTATTTTTTTTTAAATGATACTCCCTGCCTTTAAGGATCTTCTATACACTAATGGAGAAGATTGGTAAGATGTACAAAAATAAGCAGGCAGAGATGTGGAGGGAGTCAGTACCAGTCATGGGAGAATGTTAGGTGCCAATAACTGTAACACAAGTATAACCCCTTTTTCAAAAGCCTGTCTTACAGAAGCCATAGTTACAGTTTCTATAGCTTTAAGAGCCGAATGGAATGTTTAGGATTTGGCAGTCAGGATCGCAGTTTCTGAGAAACTGAGAAGAGAGTCAGTGAAGATGGTTTGAAAGAAACTCTAGGGAGGTCTAAAGAAATAGAGCAAGGAAAAACTTTCACAGGAGAACTATCTTAACTATTATTAAGTACCTTTATAGAGAGAATTTTATGATGAATGAGTGTGGAGAGAGACTGTTTAGATTAATAGCTTGAAGGAAATTGAAGGGACTCTTCTCTTGTGACAGCCAAAGAGAAGCTAAAGAAGACAGAAAGAGGTTGAAAAGGACTTCTCTCTTGATGAAATTGTTTTAATCCTTATTTATAGAAAAGCATAGAGAACATTCTTTTGAAGAGACTTCATTTATTTATTCTTAATGAGCTAAATATTTGGGAGTATGTTCTCAGAAATGATCTGCCATTACAGTGAGAGTTTGATGCGGAGGTGTTAAATTGTTAAATTTTCAGCATGAGCACTTTCACCTTGGAAACTGGCAAACCCCACAAATCAGGGCTTGATGGTTTTGTTCAGCATCTAGATTTAAGAGAAGAAAGGTTAACTCAGATTAAACTTTAAAATGTGTTGTGCATACGTTTTTTGAGGGATGATTATTAAACATATACCAGTACATCCTTAGTTTGATGTGATTATTTTCATAGCTAAAATTCTGCAAATAATTATTGATATCTTTATTATCGATTTCATTGTTAATAAATTGTATGCTCAGCAACTTTAACATTTAGTTAATCCTAAGAGATTAAGCAATTTACTGTATATGGATATGAGTAACTACTATTGAGAAAAGGTTTCTCCAATTTATTAAATAAATGAATGGGGGGAGAGGGATTTATTAAGCCTTATGTGAAATGCACAAATATAAAAAGCAAAATTTAAAATATAAAAGCAAATATTTTCTGTGCCCTCAAGAAGTTTACATTCTAATGGGACAGACAATGGGACTTAGTGACTAGGGAAAGTGGAAAGTTACAGGATGTTGAATGGAGCAATAGGTAAATGGATGACCCACTCTATCAAGGAACTGTGGCAGAGTTGATTTATGTGTGATTCCAGAACCAGAGAGGGGAAAGGTTTGGCTATGTTTCAGCAAGGCTTTGGAAGAGGTATCCAGAGACTGGAGAGTGAAGGGGAAGCATGGTAGCTGAGGATTTCCTTGGTCTGGAAGAGGCAATCACCAGTCAGTACAGTGAGGTCCCAGGGCAGAAGTATACTTCCAGGTAGCAAAATAGTTGTTGAGGCCAGAGAGGACATAGCAAAGTGAAGCAAGGTGAACTGGTGAAGGCACTGAGCTTAGCTGATTGAGAAATACTGATGAGTTAACAAATTAATGAAACAAATTTAATTAATTCATGAGGAATCATGCAAACCTGCACCTGAATTACCCCAGAATTCAGGGTGATGAGAATGAATATAACAAGTCAAGTTGTAGGCTGAGGGTTGACTAGGAAATGAGGTTGTTTGTGATCAATGAAATCAGATTTAGAGCCTGGTTATCATGAGTACTAGAGAGACTAGAGCTTATAATACAGAAAAGGGCTCAAGCGGAGCCTTGTGAAGACTGCAAGAGATTGCCCAAGAATGCTCTTTGCTTTGCTTAGTCTGAGGGACCAAAATGGATGAGAAAGAAGCTAAGTGTAGCAACAATCCCATCCAGGACTACAGCTTGCCCATTTAGTAAAGTCTGAATGGAGCAATCAGAACTTTGAGGAGAGAAGAAAAGGTCTAGAAAGGTTTTTGAAGGGGGTAAGTTAGGGAATCATAGAAGGAAGAATGAAAGATGAACTTTCCAGCAGTTATGGGGAGGAAATGCTCCCTAGCAGACAACTACCCCAGCATCTGTCTTCCCCTCCCAGCCCTTTGGCATCCAAACTTAGTAAGTGGAGGTGGTGTTGTAGCTTGAGGACAGAGAAGGTTTGAACCACAGCAGTGCCAACTGTGATAGAGGTTAGCCATGTTGGCCTAGTTATGGTTAAATAGCATAAGAAAGGACCATCAGATCCTAGATTTAGAGCAATAAGACTCACCTTTCTCATCCCTAACTTCTGACCAACTGCTAACATCCTGGAGAGTAACCCTTGTGAAGATGGGGCTTGGCAACTGCTCCTGGGAATGTTGTAACCATAGCTACGGAAGATCCAGAAAAGGCAGCTTTTATCATGAAAGTATTTGGTACTGTCCAACGGTTCAACATCAGAAACTGATGTGATTGTGTCAATGGAAATAACATTAAAGAAGAGGTATTAACATCTACTTTGCATCCTAAGGACCTTTCCTTCTGACTTGCAACTAAGATCGATAAGTATTATTTCACCCATTAAAATGTGATCTCCTTGAGAGCAAGGACTTTTCCATTGGAATCCCCAGTGCTTTGCCCATAGTAAACACTTAACGAATACTTTTTCGTTTATTCAGTCAGTCACACAGGGAATGATTATGTCAGAATTTAAGCCCATGTCTTCCCGTTTCAAATCTAGTACTCTTTCTAGTGCATTTGTATACCACATAATTATGCTACATCCTAAACCATATATCCATGGGGAAAATTCATAACAACAACTTTGAAGTACAAGCATTATAGAATGCACCAATATGGAATAGATAGGAAAAGTAGATATAAATCAAAATTAATAAATCAGTGACATCCTACAACAGCTCACCCTAGCTCCCCTCACAGATGAATGAATGCTATAACTATGGTGCCCACCTCACATGTCTAGCCAAGGGATTCAAGCAATTAAAGATAATTACCTAATGTTATCAAAACCCCAGGAGACATGTAAAGGATATATCTGTTATTTCATATGGAGCACCTGGGACTCTCTCCCACATGTGGAAGCCCAGAAAAACTATTCCAAAGTTGAGGCACTTAGCAAGTTAGCAGCTCTTCAAGAACATAATTTATAAGGCCCCACCAATTTATTTACTTTTGCCCGGATACATTAGTTCAAAACAAAAATCATTTAATTAAACAATATGCCCCCCCCAAAAAAAGGCAGCAAGGAAAAGTCATAGTTTGTGACCTCTGTTTTGAAGAGGAAGTATAGTTTTCTCTACAGATATGTAGATATGCATGCACACATATATGTCATATGTCAGCAGTAGAGTCACATACACCCAGAAGAGAAATGACATGATTATATAACAAGAGTGAAGAATAAGAGATAGTTGGACAGCCCAAGTGTTGCACTGGTAGGGCTCCAGTACGTTGGGTAAATCTTCCACTGAGAATTTATGCAAGGACATGGAGTATAATTTTCCAGGATAAGAAGGATGTGTTCCCAGGATGCGTTGCAGTCAGCACCAGTGGAATACTCATACCAATAAGATTATAGATCTATCCCAGTACCGTGTGTGTGTGTGTGTGTGTGTGTGTGTGTGTGTGTGCTCAAGAGATCTATAGGTTTCATTCCAGTATTATAGGTGAAGAGACTGAGACCCAGAAAGATTAAAAGACTTGCCCAGGATTAAAAAGCTAGCATCAAAAGAAGCAGAGTCGGAGGCTCTCCTGACTCCAAGCACTGTGTTCATTCCATTATAAAGAAAAGATTGTGAGTGAGGGGGCTGAGGAAAACCCTAACAGTATAAGCTATTTTTGGTTATGACTTCGTGACAAATATTGTGGCTGCTCAGGTACCTTTTTTGCTTATTAGTCTTCAGCTACATTCTGGATAGTGGAGTGTTGAGGGCTTGCACTGATGGGTTTGAGGATATAGGTCATATTGGGATGTTCCTGTCCCTGTCCATTATCTAAGAGCTGTCTCGGTCAGAACGTAGGCTCTCCGACCTCTTCCAGGCACTGTCTGTCCCTTGAGAGGATGAAGGATTTTTCAATAAACTTGAAAGATAATCGGGAAGCGAGGAGATGACTCCGGGGGGATACTCCCCCCAGTTACTGTTACCATGAGAAAAATTAATTGTTGATACTTGGTTTTTTCCACTCTTGATTCTGTTCCCACGAATGGGGTATAAAAGCCCTAACTCTTAGATCAATAAACAGAGCTTGTTTATGATTTGCTACCCCAGGTCCTCATTTTTTTCTCTCTCTCTCTTTCTTTCCTTCTTTCTTTTTCACTCTTTTCAGCCTCGCCGGAGATAACTTCGTAGTGGACTCAGAAGTCTGCTACAGTGGAGGCTGCCAAGTTGTTGCTTGCCCTTTGTTTTTGAAGAGGAGCAGTGACACCCCAGGGTGATGTCTTGACTTGTGCTTGAATTGGATTTAAGTGAGGCAGAGTTGCATAAAGTCTCAGCCTCGCTTTCTCTTCCAGAGCCTTTGAAGTCTAGTGGCAGGACAGAATCAAGATGACTAGTGATGGCCGGGAGTGCAATGGATGACCTTGGCATCTTTGATGTCTCACCAGGCCCTAAACACTCTGCTGCACTTGTTTCAGTGGTCTTCATGGACAGCGGAACAAATAGTTTTCGGCTGCTCATTCTGCTGGGAGAAGTCTTCACATGCTTGAGGTAGACACCCCCCAAACCCACCAATGAATTTGAGGCTCTTCTGTTCCTCTCAACCTGGTGTAGCCCATCTGCTAAAATAGTTTACCAGGGAGTGGCCACTGCATATGCTACAGCTTCTTGGAGCCACAGACGAGATTTGAGAGCCAGGTGGACACCAAAGGTAGATGGGCAAGCTCTAACACCAGAGTTGCTAGTCCTCCTTGGTACCCTATCCACCGCAGGTTGCCAAATAAGGGTCCTCTAGATAAGGGAAATGTTGCTATAATTTCAAGATCCATCAATACAATTCTGTATCCCGGAGAGTGCTGGTAAATATTTAACAACCAGATCTGGGGATGGGGTGGGGGTATACACAAGACACACTTTTAAGTTTAACCTGCATTATGAACAGTTTCTCCCTCACTTTCTTAAGTCCAGGCAATCAACGAAACAATCAGTCAAGCTCTCATTAGTAGCATTTGCCAATTTCCAGGGGGTAAATGCTCACACTGAAAACAACAACCAGCTCTCCCAAGCCACTGTTTACCTGAAAGAACTATCTGGAGTGGCCAACGTGAAGCTTATCCTAACGTCCCATATTTCTTCACATCCCTCAAAAATCTCACTGTGAAGTTGAGAAACAGGATGGAGAAGGATGCTAGAGTTAAAAACAATAATCCAGAACCTGTAAGGTAGACCAAGAGGGAAAGATGAGGAACGGGACCTAGGACACTATGCCCCAGATATCAGACCATTCAGCCAAGGCAGGTGAATACATTGAAGTTTAATCCTTTTTTCCTCTCTGTTTCTTTCTTCCTTCTTTCCTTCTTAACTTCCTCCCTTCCTTCCTTCCTTCCTTCCTTCCTTCCTTCCTTTCTTCCTTTCTTTCTTTCTTTCTTTCTTTCTTTCTTTCTTTCTTTCTTTCTTTCTTTCTTTCTTTCTTTCCTTCTTTCTGTTTCCCTTTTGTTTCGACTTCATCTCTTTTAGCTATTTTTTGTTGTTTTTAATTTTTTAAAATTTATTTATTTTTTCTTTAAAATTAGAAAAAATAAAACAATTTGGCAAAAATAAAACAAAAAGCCCTTGAGCAGTTAAACAACATAAAAAAAGTAGTTGGGAATGATTTTATATGCAATATATCCTTTGGCTATAATAAATTCATATTTGTAGAATCTGAAATCCTTTATGGTTTTAAAGGTATCTTTACAACCCTGTAAAGCAGGTACTCTATTATTTATTTCATATTTTAAAGATATGGAAACTGTGGCTTGCAGAAGTTTAAGTTATTTGTCTATGATCACATGATAGTGTCTGAGGAGGATTCAAACTCAAGACTCCTGGTTTTAGGTCCCACCCCCTCTATCCACCCCACCATGCTGCCTTGTCATTATTGGCTGTCGATAGAAGATATGAAGACTGTCTTACTGGGGTTTAACAAGTCAGCATAAGTATTCATTACATTTACCATAAGCCTAGCTGCTGTATAATGTTATCTTCCTTTACGTAGATGAAATCACTGTGTATGTGTTATTTTGGTTCTGCTTTTTACCTCCATGACATTTCAGTTCTTCCTATTTTCCTTCCTTCCTTCCTTTCTTCTTTCCTTTCTCCTTTCCTTCTTCCTTCCTCCCTCTCTTTCTTCCTTTCTTTTTTCCCTCTTCTTTCCCTTTCTTCCTTTCTTTTTGTATTTTATATTTCTTATGTCTCAATAACATTCCATGGTGTTTTCTTCTTTTATTCTAGATTTTCTCTTTCCCCTTCTCTCTGCCTTGCTTTGTCTTCTTTTTTTCTCCGTAATCTCTCCCCCCTTTTTTTTTTTGAGCTGGAAGGGAACCCCACGATGATCCGATCTCTAATTTAACAAATGAGGACAATGTATACAGTGACTTTACCAAAGATGGTGTTAGTGGTAGAGCTTGACCTTGAACCCAGGCCTCCAAACTCTTGAGTCAAGTTTTCTTTCCCTTGCACCAAATTCCCAATGCTGTTATTTATATCCTATATCATGCTATATTACATCATTTTCATTAGTCCGCAAAACCTTTGGGGCGCTGTAATGAAAAGGGCCTACATTTAGAATCAGATCACCTGCTGACTTGGCTATAGATTAGCTGGGTGATCTCATGTTAGCCACTGTCCGGCATCAACATGCTCCATCTGGAAAATGAAAGGACTGGGCTAGGAAGCCTCTTCTCTGCTTTTCGGCTCTAAGGCCTCTGACCCTCCTGCTATCACCAGCAGGACCACTCTGTTTTCTTATGTCATCCCCCACCCTTTTCCTTCACTGGTTTCCCCCTTGATTTACTTCACTCCTTTCCCTTTTTTCAAGCCTCACTAACATATCACTGTCTGCCTTCTTGGCTGCCTTTTTAAATATTTTAAATATTTTAAAAAATTTTAAATATTCTTTTGTCTCTACATTCATTCCCTTAGTGAGCTCCACAATCATAGTTTCAAATATATCCACACCCATCGCCTGGTTCTCTGTTTCTAAAAGTCTGCAGGATGTTGCTGCTTGGCGTCTTGCTATCATCTCACACTTTTTATCCTGAATTGCCATATTCCTCTTTTGTTAGCTTTTCCTTTCAATTTGATCGATTCCCTCAATAGCAGTAACCTACTTGATAGCCAGCGGCAAGGGAAGGGAGGGGGAAGAGAATGAGCATTTAGTAAGCACCTGCTACATACCAGATACTATGTTAAGACCCTTACAAATGTTATCTTGTGACCAACTGTGAAAGACTTAGCCACTCTAATCAATACAATGATCCAAGACAATTCCAAAGGACTCACAATGAAAAATGCTAACCACCTCCAGAGAGAGAACCAATGAACTTTGAGTGCAGAGTGAAGTGTACTGTTTTCATTTACTTTATTTTTCTTGCTTTTTTCCCCACAACATGGCTAACATGGAAATATATTTTACATGGACTTCATACATATAATTGATATCCTATTGCTTACCTTCTCAATGGGTGGGGGAGGGGCTAAAGGGATGAGAGAATTTGGAACTCAACATTTTTTAAATGAATGTTAAAATAAAGCATATATTTAAAAAAATCTCATTTGCTATCCACAACAATTATACAATATAACACAATTATCTGGTTCAGTCCTCATAGCAACCCTGATAGGTAGGTGCTATTATTTGAGGAAACTGAAACAGATTTATCTGTATATATATTGCATCACTGATTATGCTTTATCTAATCTTGTTTTTTTGTTTGTTTGTTTTTTAGGCAATTGGGGTTAAGTGACTTGCTCAGGATCCTACAGCCAGTAAGTGGTCTTCCTAACGAAAGGCCACCTAGCTGCACTATGGTCACTCAGACTTAAAACTTGTCAGCCACCTTCAACATTTCCTCTCCATCATCTCTACCTGTGTAGGTCAGTAAATATTTATTAGGGAGAAAGGAAATAAACATCTATTAAGCATCTATTATGTACCGGGCACTGTGCTTTATAAATATTATCTCGTGTGACCCTCACAACAACCCTGTAAGATAGGTATTATCATCATCATCCCCATTTTACAGAAGAAACTGAGGAAGGCAGAGGTTAAGTGGCTTGCCCAGGGTCACACAGTAAGTATCTGAGGGTGGACTTGAACTCAGATCTTCCTGGCTCCAGCACTCTACTCACTGTGCTACCTAGCTGCCTTTGTATTAAGAACCCACTTCACGGGGGCAGCTAGGTGGTACAGTGGATACAGCACCGGCCCTGAAGTCAGGAGGACCTGACCAAACACTCTACACTTACTAGCTGTGTGACCCTGGGCAAGTCACTTAACCCCAATTGCCTAAAAAACAAACAAACAAACAAAAAGATTAGATAAAGCATAATCAGTGATGCAATATATATACAGATAAATATAGGAATAGGGCATGTACTTATGACTTCACTGGTGCTGGGAACTCCCAGGTGGGGAAACTCCCTTTACCAAGGCAACTTAAGAGTTTTACAGAGTTACTGACACCACTGAGAAGTGATGACTTGTCTAGGGTGACACAGTCTGTATGTCAGAAGCAGGACTTGAACCCAGATCTTCCTGGTCAGGCTGTCCCTCTGCTGGTCCATGCTGCCCCTACAGATAAAAAAGCCTGAGATAATACACAAGTGCACTGGAGATCTGTGAAACAAAGAGCTGACTGGGAGACCAAAGGAAAAGGTGATATTTTAATTGGGCTTTAAAAAGTCCGATGGAGGAAAGTGAAGAAGGCAGACATTCCAGATGTATTCTATTCTAGGCAACAGCCTGAACAGAGAGGCACAGGAGTGGGAAAGGACAGGAAGGGGTGTTCAGAAGATCCAGAGTATGAGATAACCAATTTGGCTGGAGCACAGAATATGCCAGGAAACGAGATGAGATAAGTCTGGACTGGTAGGACAGTTCCAAAGGAAGGAAGGAAGGCCATGAGTGCCAGGCAAAGGAGTTTGAACTTTACTCTCCAGGCAACAGGGTTCCACTAAAGACCTATGGACAGATTTGTGATAATCTGATGGCAGTAGGAAGGGAGAAAGAATAAAGGTAAAAAAGCACAGTGGGAAGTCCCTGGCATTCATATGCACTTGGTTTTCCAATTCTCTCTAAGGCTTACCATGCAATATAGTGATATATCTGTCTTATCCCCTTACCAAATGATAAATTCCACAAGGACAGGTTCCATGCCTTATCTAAAATGCTTGTCCAAACTCCCCCAGCAGACCTTACACATAGTAGCTGCTTAGAGAATGTCTAGTGATTTTGTCTCATCCTGGAACTTCTGTCAGCACCTGGGTCCTCCTTGCCCTGGAATTTCCAACCATCCCTTGGGCTTTCTCAACCTTAACCTAGTCTAGCCCTACCTCCCTGTGGCCCCAGGCCACTTCCCACCCTTAATCCTATGTAGGCACTATTCTCCCTTGGCCTTATGGTCCAGGTCCCTGGAGTTCTATTACCTCATAGACTACTTGGCCACTCCTAGATCCCTCCCATAGTGTTTCTGTATATAAGGTCCATCTTGTCTCCATTAAGATGCTTAGAGTCTTATAATCTAGCCAATAGTTTAAGGGTCTCCTTAAGAGTCTGCTCAATTTGACAGATATTCTAATAAACCTTGTCTTTGATCGAAAAAAGAATTCATATTTAAATCCAATCCAGTCTAGGTATTGAAGTCAATTGTAAAAAAAATGCTTTGAGTTCAAATAGTTTTTTTAAAAATTTAATTGAAGTAAAATATGACAAAATCTTGCTTTTATTTTTAATTCCATGACCTTAAAAAAAAAAAAGCTCCATTTTAACAACTCAATAACAGTTTCTTATTCCAATTAACTACTTTTGTAGTTAATAAATGTGGGTGGGTTTTTGTTGGCTTATAAAACTAAATTCACTATTTTGAAGCTTGCATCAAGCTTTTTACCCTGTTCTTAGGCAGATTTTGTTCCCTAATTTGTGTGTGGGCTGGCTCATTTATAAATGAAACTAGCTATTTTAATCACATAATCCTTAACATGTAATATGTATATTAAACGGTTTCCCAAAAGTCTTAATAACTACAAATAGCTTTAAACTGAACTGCGCCTTTTGGGATACCCTACATAGATATATGTTTATAGTACAATATATGCGTATATAATATGTTGTTCAGTTGTGCCCAATTCTTCGTGACCCAGTGGACCCAAAACATGCCAGGCTTTTCTGTCCTCCACTTTCTCCCAAAGTTTGTTCAAGCTTATGTTTGTGGCTTCCATGGTCCAATCTATCCATCTCGTTCTCTGCCATCACCTTTTCCTTTTGCCTTCAATCTTTCTCAGCATCAGAGCCTTTTCCAATGAGTCCTGTCTTTTATGTGGCCAAAGGACTTAAACTTCAGCTTCAGTGTTTGCTGAATAGTCTGAATTATTTCTTTAAGTATTCACTAATTTCATCACCTTGCTTTCCCAGGGATTCTTAAAAGCCTTCTCCAGCTCCACAATTCATAAGCTTTAATTCTGAGGCTCTCAGATTTCCTTAATAAGTCCAAATCTCACAGCCATACATTGCTGCTGGAAAGATCATAACTTTGACTATATGGAATTTTGTCAGCAAATTAATGTCTCTGCTTTTTACTATGGATTGTGTGCACTATGTGAACTAAAAATGCAACAAAAAAAAAAGCTGTCATGGTATTACAGTGATTAGGATGGAATCTGGACCCCAAAAGAGAAAAATCCTGGACTTTCCCAGAGGGCCAAATCTCTGGCTTTCCTCTGAGGCTATAATCCCAGTCAACTGGCCTTTCATTGTGGCTATGCCCAATCTCCCAATTTTCTGTTATCCTTAACCTAGCCTAGCCCTCCATTGTTTTACCTCCCTATGGCCCCAGGCCATTTCCCACCCTAATCCTGGGTAGGCTCCATTCTCCCTTGGCCACTTGGTCCAGGTCCCTGGCATTCTATTACCTCACAGTTGCCTCACATACACACACTCCTAGGTGACTAGGCCACTCCTAGATCTCTCCCACAGTCTTTCTATATATAAGATCCATCTTGTCTCTGTTAAGGTGCTCAGATTCTTATAATCTAGTCAATGGCTCAGTAATGTTCAGATTCCTTAAGAGTCTGGCCAATATGGCGGATGTTCTAATAAACATTGTCTTTGACTTGTATAGCCTGATGCTGAGTGAAGTGAACAGAACCAGGGGAACGCTGTACACGGTAACAGTCACGTTGTGCAATGACTAACTTTGATAGACTTAGCCCTTCTCAGCAGTGCAAGGATCTAAGACATCTCCAAAAGTCTCATGATAGAAAATGCTATCCACATCCAAAGAAACAACTATGGAGTTTGATGCAGATCGAAGCATACTATTTGCCATTTTTTTCTTCTGGTTTTTTTTTCCCTCTTTCATGTGGTTCCTCCTATTGGTTCTAATTGTTCCTTAAAATATGACTAATATGAAAATATATTTAATAGGAAGGTATATGTAAAGCCTATATCAGATTGTGTGACATCTTAGGGAGGGAGAGGGGGAGGTAGGGGGAGAAAAATTTTTAACTCAAAAGGTTATGGAAGTGATTGTTGGTAAATCAAAATAAATTAAAAAAAAAAAAAGAAAAAACCTTGTCTTTGGCTGAAAGACCCTTTGGGTTGAATTCATTTGGACAAGACCTGCATGTTGTGATTTTGGGGTCCCAGCACCCCTAAACCCCTAAACCTCAACAGCCAGTTCATTTTGGTGAAATTACATTGCAGGTATTGTACAATGATCAACTGTGAATGACTCAACTCTTCTCAGAAATACAACTATCCAAAGACAATTCCAAAGGACTTAGGATGAAAAATGTTATCCACCTCCAGATGATGAGGATGGGATCTGGACCCCAAAAAGAGAAAACCCTGGACTTTCCCATATGGCCAAATCTCTGACGTTGGCCTGAGGCTATAGTCCCATCCACTGGCCTTTTGTTATCTTCTATGCCCAATCTCCCAATTCTGTTACCCTTAACCCACCCTAGCCCTCCTCTGTCTTACCTCCCTATGGCCCCTGGCTATTTTCTGCCTTTGACCCTATCTAGACCCCATTCCAGTCACTCCCATCAAAATCCTTCCTAGATCCCTCCCACAGTCTTTCTGTATATAAGGTCCATTTTGGCTCCATCAAGGTGCTCAGATTCTTATAATCTAGCCCCTGCTCAGATTTTTCACAATCTAGCCAATAGCTCATAGATGCTTAGATTCCTTAAGAGTCTGGCTAATATGGTGGATCTTTAATAAATCTTGTCTTTGGCTGAAAGAAGATTTGGGTCAAATTCTTTTGGTCAGGACCCGCTTGTGGTGATCTCAGAGTCCCAGTGCCCTTAAACCTCTATCCCTGATCATAGAGAAAGAGCTGATAGAGTCTGAATGCAGATCCAAGCATACTATTTTTCACTTTTTTTCATTTTTTTTCTTGGTCTGTGTTTTCTTTCACATGTCTAATATGGAAATGTTTTGTATGATTGAACTTGTATAATCTGTAACAAATTGCTTACTGTCTCAGGGAGGGGAAAGAAAGAGAGGGGGAAAGAATTTAGAACTCAAAATTTTTTAAAAATCGGGGCAGCTAGGTGGCACAGTGGATAGAGCACTGGCCCTAAGTCAAGAGGACCTGAGTTCAAATCCAGCCTCAGACCAAACACTTGACACTAGCTGTGTGACCCTGGGCAAGTCACTTAACCCCAACTGACTAAAAAAAAATTTTTTTTAAATCAATGTTAAAAGTTTTTACATGAAATTGGGGAAAAAATAAAGTATTCAAAAAAAGAAAAGAAAAAAGTGCTCTGTAAAACTTAAAATGTTATATAAATATGTACACTATTGTTATCTGAGATGTCATCCATCATTAATTTCAATAATAATAAATGTTTATTATTATCACCATGATTTAGATAATCCTTGCCACAGCGCCTAGCACATAGTAAATAATTAATAAGTGTT